TGCCAGCCTGTTGACAAGCCACGTAAGCTGTTTTTTGGAGATATTGGTCCAGCTGAGGTCGAGGCTGACTGGCTGTCTTTTGATGATGCCGCTCAGCGCCTGGGGGGTGATGGACTTGCACCTGCTCAAATCTATCTTTGTCCACAACCTCTTGTCACAGCACCTGGGGACAAGGACAAGGCTGAAAGTCAAGCACCCCGGGACATGAGACGGCTGTCTCCCTGGCTTCAGGGAGAAGCCCAGCCCTGGCATGGCCCCAGCCACAGAACAAGGCTGCTATGCCTAGTTTCCCCGGGTTTCCCCAAACACGTGGGAGGTTGCTGAGGGTGTCCGGCCACCCAGGGATGCCCAGAACAGCCCCAGCAGGGTTTTGCTGCCACGTAACAAGACTCCAAGTCACAGCTGTCAGCCTGCTTGCCCCCTCCCGGGTGCTCCTCCTGCCAGGGCGAAGATCTTAAGCATCGCCGCTCCCAGCGGGTGCAACACTCAGCCTGGTCCCACCCCGCGGCCTCAGCAGCGCTCGCCGCTTCGCCGGGAGCTGCAACAGAGCCTGGAGGTGGCACAAACTCCTCCTCTGCCACAGGAGCCTGGGGAGAGCTAGAACCTGATGGCAGCTCAGCTGTGCCCCTGAAGGTGCTGCACCGGTGGCAGGTGAGGGGACGCTCTCCTCCAGCCACCACGCCATGTCGCTCCCACTGGCTGCTGATCAAAGCGGTCCGGTCCTTCCCCATCGTGCCGTTCCCACTGCTCGGCAGTTAGAAACCTCCCAGTTTCCAGTCCCCGTCTGTTCCCAAGCCCTCTCCATCCACAGTTGTCCCGGTGCCAGCATTGTTTTCAGGCCTGCTGCCCCTCGAGGCGTTTCCAGCCAGCAAACCCATCCCCGTCTCAGCCTGCCTTCCCCAGCCTGCCGGGAGGCCGAGGCAGGAAGGGAGGCAGGGAAGGGCAAGGACCACGCAGGGCGGCGGGCAAGGAAAGGGCATCAGCACCTCGCAAGGATGCGGCGGGGCACATGGATGCTCAGGTGACAGCACAGCCTGCCACCGTCTCCCAACAGAGGGGACAGGAGGAAGGCAGAAGGGGGACAATAGAGACCAGTGCACATACAGCAAAGGCAGCAGCTGGTTACAGGGTCCTAGGGCAACACTGTCCGGCCAGCGCCAGCTCCGTCCGGGGAGGTCCTTTCCCCCCCTTCCCTCTGGCTGCCCATCAGGCACAAGGCTTGGCGTGGCCACGCCGGGTCCAGGGGTCAGGACGTGGGCA